TTCCCCAAACCTGCTCACTGAAAAGACTAAATGATGGGTTCCACGTCAGTGAGTGGGTTTCTCTGCTACAGGAAATCCGAATCGAATAAACAACAGAGATGTGTAAAAAAGGTTTCTTGCAGGGGAAGGAAGGTGACAATCTGGGTGTGTCTGCCTTTCTGTTCCTCCTGCCACATTACAGTTTCCTCCTGCACCGTCTGAAGGCTGTAATGTTAGGTTGTCTCTATCAGCAACTGCATGATGAGGGTGCTGTCTTTCTTTTCAGGCTGTTTGCTTAGTTCTGAGATGGGCCCATCAAAAGTGGTTTTAGCCGCTATGCAGGCAAGCTCTGAATTATTAAAGATTTCATAGAAAAGTTAAGAGCTAGCCCCAGGCAGGTAGGATGTGTCAGTTCATCTCTCTCTCGCTCGTATCGAATGTTTTTGGGGAAGCTACTGAGGAACTACCTATATTTTCTTTCAGTTATCACCACATGCAATCAAGGTACTGGGCACAATCTCCCTTTACTTTCAGAGTTTAAAATCTCTGGATTCATTGCCTTGGCTTTTCAGTATCCAACAACTGCAGGATAGTAGTCAGATGGATCTCACCTCAGGCTCTGCTTTCTCCCAGTGTTCTTAACCTCGTTAAGTATTGGTTTGCTGTGCTCATGCTCGAAATGACCCTCCAGGTGGACCTGTGGCCAGACAATATTCCTGAAGACCACAGAGAGTAGGTTGCTCTCCACATCAGACAGCTCCTCACCATGCTTGGTCAGGGCCTTCTGGTTCCCTCTGTCCTCTCCAAGTCAGGCAGGCTGTGGGCAAGGATGGTGGTGGTCTCTGTAGGAAGGACCAGGGACCAAGAGAAGCAGGACACTGAGAGCTTCGGCAGCGTGTATCTGGAGGAGTCTTCCTCCAGAGCCTTTATATACCCGCCAGCACTTGGTTCTGCTTTTAACTTTAGCACAAGATCCTCCTGGAGGTGAAGGGCTGGGTGCCACTTCTACTATATTTTTAAAAAACTGATCTTTCTTTTTTATTCCAAACCTTGGCTCACATCCAAAAAAATTCTCCCCTCTCCCTCTGCTCCACTTGTACATTGCAGAGTACTTTACATGAGCCTCCCAACCCCGATGAGCACACTCCTGACCTTTCTGTAGGAGGCCTTCACAGTGAGGCTGACAAAAAGCTTGAATTGAACCTGAAAGTGCTCGAAGCTCAGTGTCACTATGAAGCTGTCACTTACCACTTTTACTTTGTTCCATCTAAATCTGTACTTCTGTCAGCATAAAAATTCATGATAAAGATTTATTATCCATTAACTTTTAGGATATTTAGATTTCAGCCCTTCTAATTTTCTGCTGTGCGCCATATGAAAATTATTTCATAGGAAACCATTTGGCAACAGCCTATCCGGGCCTCCTTCCTGATTCTTTATCTTTCTCAAAAGACTAGCAATTTGCCCTCTTTTTATTCATAAAAGGATTGTGCTGGTGGCTGAGGTGGGCTCCCTCGGCAGTCAGACATGGCGCACTGCAAGTCCCTGTGACGGGTCTCACTTCTTCCCGCTATGAGACGCTTGGCTTTTGAGTGCCTGAGCCTAGCACCCCTTAGCATACTGGATCCACAGAGTGAGACATAAAGGCTGCAGCGCTGTCTGCTTGCTGCCTGAGGCCTGGGGGAAGGAACCCAAGCAGCACCTTGAGACCGAGGCACCCCTTCGCTCTCATGCCCATAAGGTTTCAAATTCCGTCAGCCCCCTCAGGTTGCCAGCCTGAAGCCCGGTCATGCTTGCTTCTGCTCAACTCCCCTTATCAACAGTACACAGGCTGCCCATTGCCTGCCTGAAGGACAACTAGCCCAGCCCAGTTCCAACCCCCCTTCTCACCCCCCAGCCCTTAACCCCATAAAAGCCTCAAGTCTGTAAGAGATGGGGCTGCCTAGTCCTCATACCAAGGGTCCCTCTCAGGTTTGTTCTAAATAAACCTATTTTGACTCTTGAGCATCATTGCTCCTCCTCTTTCTTAATATTGGAGCTTCACTGGCATTTCCAAAACCTTTCAGTGTTTACCCTCTGGAGTGTTTTCCAAAGAAGAAAATGTTTCTTTAACTGAGAGCTTCTTCCTCCTGTTCCATTATTTATGTCAGCGGCAGAGCTGAACGGTACCTGAGATTTCCGGCCCCATAATTTCACTGGTGCCCCCCCCCTTTCCAGTTCTTTGATATTGATTGTTGACATTTCTTAGTCCAATGTAAAGTCAGCTTTCAGGGCCTTCTTCCAACCACCTGCATCCTCTCATCCACCCTCAATAGAACGTCCAGACATGCCATCGCCTCTTACAGAAGTCTACCAGAAAAGGGTTTCAAAGTAGGGGGTTTGATATCTTTCTTGAAGCCTACCCATCCTTTGCAGGCCTCATTTTTCTCAACTGACTAGAGTTAGAGGTACCTCTGTCTCATTCCCAGTTTCCTTGTGTCCAGAAGCAAGAGACTCCTGCATCTGAACCTAGCTTCTCTTTCTAAGTTATTTCAAGTGATGTTCTTTCTAGATGAATATCTTTGTGGGTGCTGTTCTTTCTGGATAATGTGGATGATTTTGTAGCACAAAGTTAAAGCCTTTCTTAGTGCCTACATAGATAGATTTTCATTCGTTACTTAGCTTCTTTCAGTTCCTTTTGGTGGGTACAGGAATGGAAAAGGCTTTTTAAAAAAACATGCTTTCCTCTCCAATACTTTTTTTTTTTTTCTCAGTACCGGGAATTGAACTCACGACCTTACACTTGCCAGGCAGGTGCTGTACCGCTGAGCTAAATCCCCAGCCCCCTCTAACACTTTCATTTCACAGATGAAGAAATTGCAGGATGGAAAGGGAAAATGATCTGGTCAGATTCACACAACCAAAGAGTAGTAGAGCAGAGAAGAAAAGCCTTGTTTTCCTGTTTTGTTTAAAAAGCAATATTGCATCATTTTTTTAAAACTGCCTTTTCATTTGAAGACATTTCACTTTTCAATTGCATTATGGATTCGGTTATTGAGCCTCATCTTGGAAGTGCATTATTATTTAAATGAATTTTTCTATGGGAGAATACATGTCTGAATCCAAATATTCAATTTCTTACGAATTTTTAGAGAAAGGCATACCTCCTCCTAAAGCTTTCAGACTATCAGCTAAGCACTGTAAATTTCTTATGTGCAAACAAATCAATCCTCAGCATTTCTACTGATAGACAATCATGTATAACCATGTATAACCAGCAAAGAAATTTCATAGTAACCAGTCAAGCTAGAACAATAGACTGCTCCATCATTAGCTGACAGTCTTAGTTCAGTGTTAGATCCATTATTTTGGGTAATTCAAGTTACTGATTAATATGCTTGTTGGGTTTTTTCTTTGTTTGTTTTTTTGTATGGGGAATTGAACTCATGACCTTGGGCTTGCCAGGCAGGCACTGTGCCGCTGAGCTAAATGCCCAGCAAGACCTGAGATTTTAAACTGGATCAACCCAATGGCCACGTGGAAAAATTTAAGCAACAATCATTTTACAATTAAGTGCTTTCTAATTCCTAATCCCAAGAGCCATATACGTTGGTGTTTTGTTGTTGTTGGTTTCTTTTTTTGCCATATGTTTTATATTCCCTCCAATCTGTTTCTTAATCTTCTGGAAAGGTAAAAAGTGGCTATTGAAACTCTGCCTCTTTTTCCTTTTCATGGTAGTATACACTTGGGTGTGTCCTTTCCTGTCACTTCACCTTCCATGACTTACGCATTTCTTATTCCCATTCCGCATCTAAATCCCATTGTTCCAATTAAGCTTGAAGTGTCCCTTTCTTACTTGTCTTATTCCATCTCTTCAACCGAACATACTTTTTTTTCCAGTGTTGGGGGTCAAAACTTCACAGGTCAGGCAAGTGCTCTACCACTGCCTATATACACCAAAGCCACACTCTTGAAGTGAAAGCTCAAAGATACCATCCAGCAGAGGCTTCGACACTTATTTATAGAATGGACTTGTGCTTGTCCTCATCCTTGTATGTGTGGTTATCTTGTTTCTTCTAAATCATCAACTTCTTAGACATAATTATTATTATATTATTGAGTTTTGGGGGTAGTTTGGCAAAAAATATTTATCAATACTAAAAATAAAGTGAGGCACAAATCTTCTTAGTATACACCTTCTTTAAAAAATGGGCTGAAATTTAAAGAGATGGTAAATGTAAGTAATAATGATTCTTTTCAGGGAGTAATTGGCATTGCATCAGATAAGGCTTTTAGCTAAGGCCATTTTGAGGTTCCTTTGGAACAATGATTCCATAGTCACACCAGTGCCAACTGAGTGGCAACGTACAGCGGGGTGGAGAAGGACCAAGAAGGGTAAATTGAAAAGACAATGAGATGTACAAATGATGGCCAGCAGAGGCTGAAGTTCAAAAGAAAGCAGAGATGAGAAGGTAAATAATAGCTATATTTTAATCCAAGTAACCAAACTAATGTGAAACACAAAACACTGAATCTCCAGAATCCAGAAGATCCAATGTAACTGTCCTTTTCATGTAGGCAATCTCATTACTATGCAGTATATTCTTGACTAAGAAACACTAAGACCCTTGAGGTTTTGGTTTGGTTTGCAGATTAGGAAGAGAGTTGTTATTGTTGTTTACTGTTTTTCTAGAGAAAACTGGTAAATATTCCTTATTCATGCAATTGAAAATAAAAATCTTGTTGGTAGCAACATGGCAGTAGAGCGTTAATAGGGGAGCCAACACAAGAGGTATTCACGTGATTTCACACACTGATGACAGAGCAGACAAAAGAACCATCTCAAATAATAATGGGAAAGAAAAGAAAGGCCAAAAGCAGACATTAACTGTTAAACAGAGTACAGTGTCAAGGTTGAGTAAGCACACTTCATTTTCTTCCCTGACAAATATGGCTCAAAACTCTGGACAGACGGCACAGAACAGTGACCTGAGGGCGCTAGAAAGTGTGCGGTCAGGGCAGACTTGGGGAGGAAGCCCTACCTGAGGTAACCCCGAGCTGGTGGTGAGTTTCCCCTTATCCACACTTCTGTTCTCCTGTCTTGTCTTGGGCTCAGAGGCAGCTTAGAATCTGGAACTGCACAGTGACTACAGACAGAAAGAGCTCCAAAAGAAATCTTCCTTTTGTTCTAAGGGTCTTTATGGGTCAGAGTATGCAGAAAAAAGTTTCTGCCTTTTTTTTTTTTTTTGCTTTTGTACCATTGTCTGTTTGATCAGTAACCAGGCAATCCTGCAACGGCAGAAACATCTCAGCTGGAGCCTAAAACTCCAAGGAAACTATTTATTATGACACAAAGAAACTCTGTTCCCAAGAGTAGGGAAGAATCAGTATTGTCCCTGATATCTTATTGTTTGCCTCACCTGCAGGTACAGGGGTGAAGTGCTATATAACAGACCAAGGAATATAAAGCCCTGGATTTCTAGCCAGTGCTCTAGGAAGGAACATACTAAAAGCTCAAAAGTATTAAAGATATTGTGGAAATAATAGATATCAAGCAAATAATCCTATAAAATTGTACAAACTACAAGGCTAACCCCAAAACGTACATACACCGGTCTGACCCTCGGCACATTAAAGGATTTTGTAACTGACTACATACAGGTCACGCGTCTCCAAGAATGCATCTCCAAGGACGGCCACTAGATGGCTCAAACCTGAAACAAATAGCATAAGTAGCAGGTAAAGGCTATGAAAACTGTATTGCAAGAAGAAGAAACAAAACAAACAAAAAGAGAAAACTGTATTGGATTAGAACCACTGCTCGCAGAAGCATGATAGGAAACTGCACTCTGAACCTAACTCCATTGATTCCCTACAAAAGTAGGAATATTCTCCATAGGATTTAAAAAGGATCCGCAGCAGTGGTAGGTAATAAACTGTTGTAGTTTTTTTTTTTTTTTTCCTTTGTCTTTTTTGAAACAGGGTTTCACTATGCAGTTCAGGCTGGCCTTGAACTCACTTTGTAGCCCAGGATGGCCTCGAACTTCCAATAATCCTCCTGTCTCAGCCTCCCAAGTGCTGGGATTATAGGGACGTGCCTATAATAGTTGAAAATCAAACAAACAAACAAAAATAACAGAAAAGAAAAATGGTATGATGCTCCTAGAACTTTGTCCCATCAGAAGCTCAGGTCCAGGCAGTCTTGTGACTTGCATATAACCAGCAGGATGCAATAAAAGTAACACTTACATGACTTCTGAAGCTAGGTCATGAAAGGCGAAGCAGCTTCTGTCTTTTTGGCTAGAGCACTGTGTTTCATAACACTGAACTGCCGTGTAACAAATCCAAATACTCTGAGGCCAGCATGATATAAGAGCTCCCAGACTAATTCATGTGGAGGGCCCACATGGAGAGCTCTGAAGCAAAGGGGAGAGACAGAGACAGAGACAGCTAGCCTCTAGTTGCTTCAGTCCTCCCTGTCCCCATCCCAATCTGCTGCTACAGGCTTAATCACTGTCTGAATTCGCCAGCATAGAGGCCCTGAGTCTGTCCCGTAGAATCTACAAGACACAATAACACTTTTGCTGTTTCACGTCAATAAGTTGAGAGTGCTTCGCTACATGGCAATTGTAGCAAAACAGGTACATTATGATCCTTAGAAGAAATGAACACAGACTAGGAAGACGTAGGAGGGAAAAAACTTGAAATCAAGGGACATTTACAAACTGGTACTTTTTAAAGAGATAATTCCAGCATCTCTCATATCGAGACTGGGTTTCTGGGTGCTCGTGTGTGTGTGTGAGGACACGAACGTATTCACAGGTTTGGTTGGGCATGTGTGCCAGATTGGTAGAGAAGACCCTATCAATCCTCAGGCCTTCATTTGGGAACTTTGGAAAAACAGGTCATCTAGGAATTCTATTTCATGAGAACCCAGAGTTCTGCAGGAAAAAAGTATGAAGCAGATTTGGAAATGATACTAAGATTCATGATGCACCATGATTAATACCAGCTCTGAGACAGCAATGAAACAAAATCTGTATCTCCCCTGCCCTTTTTTTAGGGCATCCTGGTCATAGGCCCCCACCTGATCTCATGAGAAGTCTTGAACTGGCATTTGGAACAGCTGCCGCAGAATGTTTTTCCTATCCTAGACCCCATGTGTTATTCCCACCCCATGTTCATTTTTAGTGGTCAGACATTACATTGACTAAAATTCTAGACCCTGAACTCAAATTGCCTGGTTTTGACTCTGGCTTCCTTATCTATAGGCTTTGTGGCCATGAGGAATTAACGATTAGGAAAATCTTTTTGGAAAAGAAAGAAATTAAAGGAACTGGCCAGAGTCTATATGCCCAGGAAAAAATGACCGCTTAAGAGAAGTTTTAAAGCTGGGTGTGGTGGCACACACCTATAATCCCAGCACTCAAGAGGCTGAGGCAGGAGGATTTCTGTGCATTTGAGACCAGCCTGGGTTACAAAGTGAATTCAAGGCCAGCCTGAACTGCACAGCAAAACCCTGTCTCAAAAAGACAATAAAACCGGAACAAACAAACCAAACCAAAACAAAACAAAAAACCAGAGAAGCTTCAGTGGATGAGAAACTAAAGGACATAAATATATAAGACATTATAGGCTTTCATAAAATGAACCTAAAAGTTAACCTGGAAAAACAAAGGAAAAAATACTTTCTAAGAAGTGAAAAGAGAGCATTTTACATGGACTGGAAGAGAATAAAGAAATTAGAGCCTGTGAATCAGATTACTTTTGTGTATATACAGTGATGTGTGTATCAAGATTTCCCCACACAGATTACAACAGCTTTGTGCCTGAATAGCCTGGCTGACTGTTACGTGATAGGTAGATAACCCAGTGTGGACCGAGGGTGATATGAAGGAAAGAGAAGGCAAGGCCTATGTTTTGGACAATAGTGATGGATAATGAGCATTTGAGGAGCCCGAGGTAGGCTTCATTTAAACCTGGACCAGGTTTATCAAGATACAAGTCTCCAGCTTGCCAGGCACTCTGTACCCTCCTTTCTCACCTTGTGTGACCCAGCCCTACGCTACGTAACAAACAGAAAACCCTAGAACCAGGCAAGTCTCTAAATCCAGAAGATACCGCTTGAGCATGCCAGATAAGATCCATATTATTTTGGCACACACTCAAAAATGAGTTTGCTTTCTTCCCAAGATTTTTCAGTTTATGCTTCCCGAAGAGACCACAAAAATCAAATTATCTTTTCTTCAAGTATCACATGCTCAGCTTCTGAGGCTCTTGATAAGCAGCAAAACTATATTATAGAAATGAAAATCTTCATCTTTTAATATTGTTTGGGAAATAATAGGGAACAGGGGCCCATGTACTTCAAATATTTTTTTCCAGTTAATAAAGATAAATGGAGTGGTAGCAATAAGAGTGAGTTTGGAATGAAAAGAAGTTGCTGTTCTGACTGATAGTAGTTGATGAGAAAACTCTCACGCTCCGTTTAGATAAGAAAACCAAGAGAGTCGTGGATATGATACTCATTGTGATAAAGAGGCCATGCTAAAACTCTTACTCTGGCTTCACAAAGAAACCTTGCAAACATTTCATTGCCCTTAGAAAAGCAGAGGTGTCAGTTTTAATGCAATTATTAGGGAAAGAAATTATTAAGATAGTCAGTTTGAATTACAGAGTATTGGAGATCGTAGAGAACTTTTCAGAGGACACAGCAGAAATATATTTTCAAGCCTGGATGTCTTCTAAGGTTCCTTGTGCAAGTATCTTTCAAGGAGACTTTGTAAAGACAGAAAACAAAACGGATCTTACATATTTACAAGCGTCTCCACACTGAACAGAGAGTTGAGACTGGTACTGAGTGTGCTGTTGTCACCTCTCTCACTTACTTTTCTCTCATCGCTGGGACAAAATACCCCACACTTGAAATTAAGGAAGGAAAGATTTATTTAGCTCACAGGTTGTAGAGATTTCAGTCCATAATCAGCTGGCTCTGGGCAGGGTGGCAGGGCACAGGGGCAGCACTTCAAGGCGGCAGAAGACAGCAAAAGCAGCAAGAAGGAAAAACGGGGAAGAGGAAGCTTCTTTTTGTCCTTTATATGGTAAGCAGCCCACCCCTCTAGGTGGGGTGTGGCACTCATACCATCTCCCGGGCCTCCTCTTGCACAGGATGAGGATGTTTACAAAGTGAGGGCCCTGGCCCCCTGCTGAGTTAAACGTCTAAACTTCTCAAGTTGACACAAGGTACCAATCATTACATCACCCCTTCATCAGGGTAACTTTATGCTGCTGGACAGAAAGAGGCAGACTCAGGAAACCCCAGCTTACTGAAAAGAAGAATCTTTGTTAGAACTTCTGATGGCCAGTCAGAGAGACCCGCTTGAAGTGGACGAAGGAAGAAGAATCAACTTATAAAGAATGAAGTTTTCTGCCGAGCAGGGTATTGTACACCTGTAATCCCAGCCTTCAGAGAGGCTGTGGCAGGAGGATCACAAACTCAAGCCTGGTCTAAGTAACTTACTAATTTAGCATGACCCTATCCCCAAATAAAAGATATAAAATACGAACAGGGATGGGGGGTTGAGGTGCAAACCCTGGGTTCAATAAAAAGAACTAGGTTGTCTCACAGAGCCCAAAGGCAGAGGTGTAGGAGGACCTTGGCAATCCACTGGAACCAGGGCCTCAGTTGAGCGCTGAGGGAATCCAGAGGCTCTCCCTCCCCTAAAAGTCTGCTTTCTTCAGCTCTCACACGTTACTCATCTGTTTTCCAGGCTATGGACAGGGAACATCCACCATCAACAACTCTCTCCCTACCCACTAAAATATTAAAATTGTATTTTCAAGCTAACTGAGAGGCAATGCCTTCTTCTTGCTTTATGAGTAGAGCAAAGGGAGGGTACTAAGGAAGGATATACCTTTTTAAAAATTTACCAAGATTTTAGTATGTATGTTTAACTTTTACTGGAATGACATATTTTCTCTTCTACCTACCTTATCCATCTATTTTCTTAATTTCTAAAATATAAAATAAAATCCACTTAGAAAGTATTCAAATTGGGTGTGGTGGCACACACCTGTAATCCTAGCACTTGGGAGGCTAAGGCAGGAGGATCGCTAGGAGCTGGAGGCCAGCGTGGGCTACAAAATGAGTTTAAGTCCAGCCTGAACTGCATATTGAAATACTGTTTCAAAAAGACAAAAAAA